ATTTCCTTCTTGTCAGGATGCAATGCTGCTGAGCTTGTAGCAGGTGATCCTTGAATCTCAGCCAGCAGTCTTGGGTTCCCCTGCCCTCTAGGACTTTATACCATGGAGCCTTACTAAGCAGGTTCCTGAAGAGGCCAAAGTCTGCTCTCTTGAAGTCCAGGGCAGTGGGCTTGCTGTATGTTCTTCTCACTGTCCTGAGGATCTCAAACTCAACCATCTCATGATCACTACAGCCAAGGCTGCCCTGGAGCACCACATTCCCAACCAGCCCTCCCTGTTTGTGAGCACGAGGTCAAGCATGGCACCTCTCCTTGTTGGCTCCTCTATTACTTGCAAGAGGAAGTTGTGTTCCACACAGTCAAGGATCCTGGATTGCTTGTGCTGACCTGTACCCTTGCTCCAGCAGATATCAGTATGGCTGAAGTCCCCCATGAGGACAAGGGCCTGCGAGCGTGAGGCTGTTCCTATCTGTCTATAGAGTGCTTCATCCACAGAGTCCTCCTGATTGGGTGGTCCGTAACAGATCCCCAGAGTGATGTCCCCCATCGCTGTTCTCCCTTTTACTCTGACCCACAAGCTCTCTGTTGACTCATGACTTGTCCCCAGACAAAGTTCCATACTCTCCAGCCTACCACTGACATAAATGGCTACTCCCCTTCCTCATCTACCTCGCCTGTCTTATCCTAAAGAGCCTATAACCTTCCATTCCAACACTCCAGTCAGAGGAGCCATCCCACCGTATTTTTGTGAGACCAATTATATCATATTACTGTAGCCATATACACATCTCTAATTCCTCTTGTCTATTCCCCATACTATACCCTTGAGATTGGGTCAGGCCAACAGATGGATACCTCTGTGCCTTTCAAAGTAGGGTCACCTACTACTATGACCCGCTGCTTTTTTCTGAAGGCACCAGTAGTGATCATCTTCACTGGTGCATCAGCTGGTTGCTCATTTGGTGTGCTGGGTGTTCCCTCATTAGGCCTCTGCAGAGCTGTGAAGCTGTTCTGGGTGAGGATGTCAAGATTTTGGAGGAAGCCCCTTGCTTTTGATTGTGATGTTTCCTTGTGTTTCTTTGTTGTTGTTGTTCTGTTTGTTTGGTAGGGCTTTTTTGATTTCTTTTTTCTTGTTGGTTTTTCGGGGGGTGTTTTTTGGTTTTGGGGTTGTTGGTGTTGTTTTTTTTTTTGTTGGGGGGGGAGGTGTTTTGTTTTGTTACTAGTCCCCAGATTCCTGGATTACTGCCCTCCTTTTCCTTACGCACTGTGGTGGGCACTTGAGGCCCCTGCACAGTTTGGGCCTGGAGAAAGCAGTCCAGTTCCCTCTCAGCTTCCCTGGCATCATTCAGCTGCTGACAGTGTCCCGTAGCTCAGGCCCTGCTTCAGGAGGCCCTCCACCAGGGAGCACGGAGCGCAGCCCTGCCCATTGTGCACCCTCCCCCCACGAGACCAGTGCAGGCATTCTCTGCACCCCGAGCTCTTCGGTGCAGCCTCCCCTCTCACCGGCTCTATCTGGTGCCGACGCTGCCACCGTAGGGACAGCCAGAGCAGAGCTCCCGGGCCCTGGGGCGAAGCCTCACCATTCAACTCGCTGCTCGCTCGCGCTGCCGGCGCCAACCGCCGCACCACACACCGTTGCCGCGCTTCCTGGCGCGGGTTTTCCCCGCTCAGGGCGGGGCCGTCCCTCCTTGCGCAGCCCCGTGTGAGTCCCTGCTCGCCTCAGCGGAGTTGCCAGCCTCTGGGCAAGGCTCGGCGAGGGCTTGAGGCTCTCTCGGGGGTATTTCCGCTCAGAATTGAGGCTCCTGGACCCTGCATTTTCCCCTCGCTCCGGGGTTGAAGGCGCCTCTTTGCAGACAACTCGGCAAATATTAGCATTGTGAAAATCTCAGCCTAGTAATCACTAAGACGTTAGTAGAGGATATTGCTTTATTGCTATGAGGCTTTCTGCTTTAACATTTTTAACTGAGAAATTCATTGGTTTGGGATCCCTGTGAAGTGGTTTAACTGCCACGATTTTCTGTTCAGAAAATACTCCTCAATAGTGAATGAGAAATTACATCTCTCTGAAACCCGGTTTCCATCAGGTACCACATTGAGTGGCTGAATCATTATGCTGTAAATCTTTACTGGTATGCTATTTCTACCTGTATAGCTAATTTAAGCCCAGGGTTTTAGGTTTCCCAGAAATGGCTTCCAATGATGCTGCACAGTCAAGAGTGTTATTTTGAAAACTTCTGCAATAATTTTGCTTTCAAGAGCTGGAATTCAGGTGGCTCAGGCTATTGCCATGTTCATGATCTGCTCTGATAAGGAACTGCCTTTCTCCTGTGACCCAGTAAAAATGGAACAGGTTCAGTTGTGACGGGGATTCTTTCAGGAAACAGCACAATGAAGGGAAGCTGCAGGATGCAGCTCTGAAATGCGTGCTGTGGCCTCCTTAGCCCTGTTTTTGAAATCACTATGGTCTGGCTCCTACACATGAGAAAAAGTCAAGGAGGGTTGAATCATGAAAGAAGCAAGGAGAAATCTGACACAGACGGTAACTCTAAGTTCCTTTTCTGACAGTGGCCCACAATGGGAAAAAGAAGAGGCATGTTTCATAGGAAGTTACTGTTGTGCAACACTTCTGGACCCCCTAACTTATTTACAATCACTTTATTTTGGTGCAGTGCTAATGGCTATTCTGAATTTTGTCTGCTTTTTTGCTTCCTTTGCCTTTGTCCATCCTCTAACATGATAATCTGGGGTAAAGTAAGAATTAAAGTAGGTGTGATTTACTGAAGTTTCACATGATGTTTCATGGAGTTTTCATGGTTTTAATTTCTTCAGTTGAAATAAATGGTCTCTGCAGTGCCCAAAGAGAGCAGCTTTTACTGCATGAAACTTATTTTTATCTGACTGAACTTAAAGTTCCAGGACCTGAAAGATTGGTGTGTCTTTTTCAGAGGAATGATTTTCAGAAGGACTCTTATGTAGTGAATATGACCAACCGCTGAGCTGCCTGATGTTGCTACTGTCTCAACTCTGTCCTTCACTGGGTGAAGTTCTCTTCTTACTTCACTGAGCAGCAGCAGAAAGTGAGTTTTAACCAGTGTATCTGGAAAACAGCATTCTGAATAAGATGTATCAATACACATTAAGGGTTCTGCCATGTGCTTCTGTTACTCAGAGACTTCTGCTGAGGACAGCAGCATTGAAAGGATTAATATTTTTAAGTAACTGTTGGAGGATTATCATAAATCCAGACTCCATCTGTGTACATGATAAGGTGGAAGCATACATGGTTTCTTTAAAAGCCAGGAGGGGGCTGTGTTTAATTAAAACTGGGTTTACCACCTGAGGGGATTGGGGACTGCTTGGAAACGGGTACAAAGGTACATCTGGGCATGTGTCTCACTTTTAAAGAACGGGGACTTTTGAAGGAAGTGCTGTTATGTTAGAAGTACACTTTGTCTGTGATTCTTCAGGCACAGCACTGTGTAAAAGGATATAGATTTTCCATTCTGTTTTTTCCAGTCAGTGGAAAAAATAGCAGTTGTAAGTATGCCTGTTAAGTGTCCCACGGCCTATTCAGGAAATGTCCTTTTTGAAACTTTACATGGGAGGGGTTGTGCTGTCTAGTGATGTAATCTCATATTTTTGCATCGGTTTGTTCTGTGTGCATCTTCTTGCACACTTGTGGAAGTCACAGTGAAGTCTGAATGTTGAGGGAAATTAATAATGCCTTTGTTTTTACATTGTGGAGTAAAACATGCTTCACAAAAATTCCCCTTAGCAACTTTTATACATATGTGTCATGTTAATTTTTTTAGGGGCTGAAGCTAATTATTTAGAACAAGGTAGAATGCTGAAGTTGGGTCATAATACTGAAAGGAGATACTTTGTGAGGAGAAGGAAACACAAATTCATATAATGCAACATATACTGCAACTGCACTATCATAAAATTTCCCATCACTAACGTAGGAGATTGCTATCTCCAGGATTAACTGTAATATTAGTATATCACATACAACTCCATAAAGGAAAACACCAAACAGACTAATAGAATAAGAGGCACATGATGAGCTTTACTTTCAAGTTATGTCTGTGTTTGTGTGTTGTGATAGTTAAACCTGACCTGCAGCTCACTTTGCTCTACAGCATGCTAAGACCTGACTCAAGCCTGATAAAGTTAAAAAGGATGTTTTTGCAAATTCTGCTTATCGTTTAAGTTACAGTCATCATCAGAAGATCTACTTTGGCTGGTTTTGCTTTGTATTTCTGTGCTTCTGAGTCATAAATCTGGTTGATTATGACTGACTGTATATTGCAGCAGCCCAAATGAAAGTGGGTTTTAAAAAGGTTCTCCCACATAAAGTCTCTTTGGCAAGAGTTGGTTAAAGTTTTCCTGGTAGTGATTAAAAAAATCTTTGGTCTTAAATCTGTATCAATATTGCTGTTTTTGTGAGTTAAAAAATTATAATAATTTTTAAAACATAACCCCAACACAAGGATAGAGAGCATTAGCTCACTGTGGAGAGGAATGAATCCATTTCAGTTCTTCTCAGCAGCTGGTCCTACTACTTATCCCTAGTTTCAGGTGAATCTTAATCTTGAGAGATAATTTCATTGCCAAAAAGTGCTTGTAGGTAATATGTGAACCAGCCACTGTGAGGCTAGCTTTGCAGTCTAATATCATGAGATCCTGACATCTCTATACACAGTGAGGTGATACCAGTGTTTGGAAAATGTACTAGCCTTTTCCTACACTGATGTGACTCTTGCAGCATTTGCTTTGCTTTGCTTTCCTTTGCAAGCTGGGTGTATAGAATTCCTGTGCTATGTGTCCAGCAGAGCCCTGCTGCTGGTAGGAAGCTGTAACTAAAAGAAGTATTTTCCTTAAAAACAAAACAAAACAAAACAAAAACAAAAAAGCCGCAACTTCTTACTGCTGTTTCTGCTTTATATTAGGCTGTTAAGCTAGATTTGCTCTAAAGAAACTTTCCTGGCTTTATTGGGCTTATACTGATGATGTACGTGGTCTGCTGTCCTTAGAAGGGACGTAAATAGGACAACATATAAACCTTGACAACTGTGAACTTTGTGTTTAGGCTATAAATTTGATGGGGGTAAGGAAGGTATAGTAATCTTTTTGTTCTGCATGAAACGTTTAGTGTATGGGATTATGGCCCATGTGTAGGGTTGCTATGAATGACAGTACTAATAATTTACTTCTTTGTTTTAAGATTGCTTTTATATAAACCTATTTATAGCATGGAACTCCTCACATTGCTATGATGTTAACAACTGCAAGGCTAAAAGCACAAATGTTTGAACTGAGATACCTGTTGCTCAGCCACTGAAATACCATTGTCTGATACTAACATTACTTTGCAGGTAAGGGCCCTCTCTCAATAGAGCCTTGTGCAAATGGTGGTTTCAGAAGCAGAGACAGATGCCCTGTCAGAGTTACTGAGATGGTGATACCTTTTACTGAGGGATCAGAGGATAAGGGCCACATTGCAGCACCTCTTGGAATGACCTAAGGGAAGAATGGCACAGTCACACTGAGGAAAATGGAATACGAGTAACTTACCCCTGTTATACCCTGAAGAGCTATAGAAACACCCATACAGCATTTGAGGTACCTTTGTTTTTTTTTTGAATGTCAAGACTGCTGTTGCTTTTGAATATGACTTCAAAAAAGTACTTTTTGTTACTCTGACTTACCCAAGAATGTGTGAAAATTTATTCAGTGTCATGTGCTATGATGATGTTTTCTAGCCCTGTGGTGGATGCGTAACAGTTTCCAAAAATATGGAAAGTGAAGCTGTAAACTGCAAAACATAGGGACTAAGATCCCTGGCAGTACATGAAAATTTGAAAGACTGGCAACTCGCGACTGCTGCTTTACACAGTATTTCAATCTTGACCTGCAATAGCCTTTCTTTTACACTGGCCTTGGGCACCTTCTTTGCAACACCACCAATAGTGACCAGTTGCTGCTCAGTTTTGCAGAATTGCTTGGATGATCAAACATTTTCACTTGTTGACCCAAGTCTCAATTAGAGCTTAAGCCCATGGAGATGAAGAGCTTGTCTTTTAAATTAGAACATCGCTTGCTGTTACCTTTGCCAGCAGGCTGCTCTATGAACAGCTGCTGTGGTACAAAAGGCCAAAGAGAAGCGCCTCAGTTTGCCCTAGTCCTTTCACACCCCCAAGTCACTGGAACATACCCAAACTACAGGCAGTCTTTCCAGTGCAGAACAGGCTGTACAGTTGACTCTAACTGAAATGTGAATCTTCTCAATCCTAAATTATTTTAATCCAGTCATCTGTGTTAAACGGTGTAAAGAGACAGCAAAGCAGAAAGAATGGTTGCCAAGTACAGAATGCAGGACACGAAGCTGCTAAATTGAGATGAAATATGAACTAATAATGATTTATTACAAATGCCACTGGGATTATAGTGGGAATCACTTGGAGAGATACTCAGGTGAAATGAATTTTGTAGGCTCTCCCCTGAATGATTTTTACAGTCTTAGTAGAGGCGAAGGGAAGACAAAGCTGTTAGTTACGCTGGGAGTACACACAAGAGTTTTGAAGTGCTCCCAAATAAATTCTCCCTAATTAATATAGGCTTTTCAAGCCTCCTGTAAGTAGACAAGCACGAACAGCTGTAGTTCTTTTTATAGACACAAACTAATCTCTAGTACATGTTGGAGTTGAAGGATGTAGAGAACAACATGCTGTTGATTCATAAGGCTTTTCTAGCCATGGAAGTATTCTTTTTATATTCTCTAAAAGTAGAAGGGAATGCAGAAGAGTGCAGAGTATAGTCTTCAAGAATCCTACTTGGGAATAAAGCCATGACAAGAGCAAGGGATCTAGCTCTTAATGACACATACCACACACTTCTTATTAACATGTGAAAGAGCATGTGTGAGTTTTGACCTATTTTCTTGACAGGTTCAGCCTTTTGTGACCCATATGAAAAAGACAGCATTCACTAGCATTTCTTCCCAGTTTCCACTTGTGTGAATGGCCTTCATGAAAAAAGATGGGAAGAATTACATGCTTCATGTTTTTTAAAATAATTGTAAATGCCCAAGCAATAACTTATAATAAAATCCCTTAGCCTTGATGAATATCTTTGAACATTTTTCCTGTTTGAAGATGATATGTTTTCTCTCTCTATTGCTAGCTGTATGTATTTTCAGTTTAATATTGTGCTCTGCCTGGAGACAGTATCCGGTTTTGGCAGGTGAAGGGAGGAACTGTAATAGCTCCTTTCCATCTCTAATGCCCATGATTTTATTTACATAAAAGCATCCTGGATTTTGAACAGTTTGTTTCTTTTGGCAGTTTATTACCAGCCCGAATGTCCCACTTTTTCCTGATCTAACATTCAGCTGCTGCAGAAGTCATTATCACCTCCATTTTTAGTTTTAATAACCTTGCTTTTAATAAACCTCTGTTTGAAGTAAATTTCCAAAACCTTCCTTCAAAACAATGTCCCAGATCTTCTAGAACCCACTGGTTACTTTTTTTTCTCCTCAAAGGAATAAGGTGGTTACCCTTTTATTGATCTTACGGCTTTTTCTGATGTGACATAGGAAGAACTGATTTACTTAGGGCAAAATGACTTGCTGGGTTCTCTCCATTATTGTAACCAAAGGGAGAACTAACTACTAAAGGGCTCATGGGGAAGAGCTGTTTCAATAGCTCTTTGTGCCCTGTGCTTTTTGGCTCAGAAGTTATATATCCCCACTGTGGACTAGCTGTACCTCATAAGTCTTGTGATGTACACTGCTATGGATTGCAAATGAATTTTGTCCATTTATTCTCATGCACTAGAAGGAGCACTGGGGAGAAGCAGAAAATCACTGTTTCACAGAATTCTTCTCTTTTGCTTTCAGAGGAAATAAGTACAAACTCACAAACAAAGTCACTGTGGGGAAGAAACTCAGCTATAAGAATACTGCTGTTTAGAGAAGGGAAAAATGAAAGTGCTGAAGTGGGCATGGTGTGGGTTCCACCCATCTCTAGAACAATTATTTTTAGGCAACTAACCCTTATTCTCTCAAGATTCATTTCCAGAAAGCATGTCTAAAGGTAAACCACTTTGAAGTATTAGAAGGCAGATGTATTGACTTACCCATAAGACATTTCAGTACAAAAATTGCTTTGAATTCTGCACTCTTCTCATGAAACCTGCTAAAGGAAAGTTGGAAGGAGTTTCCTAATACTTTCTCATGGCTCTGGGGAGGTTAGCTAAGAGTGGGTTAAACTGGTCCCTTAAGTCACTTTTGGAAAAAGAAGCCAAGTATGGCAAGAACCATAGCACCGTCCTCAGTGTTACTCCTTTCTCTTTCCCCAGAATCTCCGAAATTAAATTCAAGATCTGAGACTTCAAATTACTGCTCAAGTGCATTGCCTTTCAATTGGATTGTAGAAGAAAATGAGGGAAAGTATGTCATTGATTATAGAAGGGAGCACTGACTGTGTGTTCAAGTTTTCATTTGATTGAGGAACTTCACAATAATGAAGAAACCATCTTCAAGAAGTAATGTACATTTTTTCCCAAACCTCTCAGCTTTAGCTCTGTAGTAGCTTTGAAGTTAAACTACACGAGGTGAACAATGGCCAGTTTCAAATCTCATATTTCCCTTTCCCCTCTAGTTAATCCTAGGAGGTTTACGGGTTAAGACCCATGCAGTGGTGGGATATACCTGAGCACAGTAAAATCCAAGTGAAATTGTTTCATGAGCTGCACAAAAAAAGAAATAATAAAATTACAGTGTGACTCAGATCAAAAAGTGAACCACTGGAGAAAGTTCTGATGCTGAAAAGCTTACTTCTCTTGCTTTTATCCTTGCTTGTCTTGTAGTGTGCCTTTGCAGGAGCATTTCAGAGCAATGTAGGAAGGTATTCTGGATTCAGCTGGTCTGTAGTTGTTCTAGAGGTATTGGCTAAGGTGGCATTCTTGCTTGCACGACTCACTAGGCTGTTGGACTTCTTGTCTTGCTTGTTGCTGTTGATCTTAGGGTACAGGAAACCAGAGTGGTATCCAGAAGGAAGCTCTACGCCTTGGGCATTGCTGTATGTTATTGTGATGCTGGGTATCTGGGCTGCAGGTGGTCCAGAGTGAGACTGTTTTTTTCTTTGTCCAATACCATTCAGGCTTTCAGCTCTCTAAAGGATGCAAGGATTTAAAAGATACAAACATCGTAAATATCTACAAGGAGATCAGGTTGCATCATCTATGAAAAAGTGGCATATAATTAGATAAGCACTTTGCCAGTTTGCATCACTAACTAAAAAACAAAGGTGGAGAGTAAAGTAGGTCTGAATATTTTTATAGTATTTCATGAACAACTTACAAGGGGAAAAAAATGTTTAACAAGTTAACATACTAAAGCGTAGACTTTTCATTTGCTACTTAAGAGCTCGTCTACTTCGATAAAAGACCAAACTAATGAGAACACATTTGACTACAAACTGAAATGCTGTGAATATGCTCAGACAGACTGTGAGTTCAAGTAAGTAAGGAGTCCCTCCATAAAGACTGACTATTTAGGTTCTCTGGGGCAACAGGTGATGTGAGATGTAGTGATGGCAGCATGGACGGTTGAAGGGAAAAGCAGTGTAGAGAATGAAATGAAAAGGGGAATTGAGGAAGAGATGAATGAGCATTTTTTGGCAATAGCAATGTTATCTCTCACTTTCACAGGACCAAAAAAGTAGAGTGTTAGGATGAAGACAGCAATAGCTGGTAGGGATCACTGCTAGCAATAAGATATAATTTAAGATTTTTATGTTACATCTGGCTTAATACTGTAAAGAAAAAAACTGGCTTGTTTACATCTGTCAGCTGTTTTCCCTTATTTCCCCGTCTTCTGTCAAGAACTAAGGCAAGTTGACTCACTTGTGGCAGATGTCAAAAAAAAATTTATCAGTATTCTGTTGCTTCATTACATGGAAGAAGAAATAGACACTAATACAATATCCTACTGAACAAGTAATATGGCGTGTTTAAAAAACTTACCTTGATTTCCTTCAAGTTGCATTTTTTAGATGTTTGCTGCTGCAACATTAAATAGTTAAAAATGTCACTTTGTACAGCAGTACTTGCCACAAGGCTATGGCTGTCTCAGAGATACAGTCGTCAGAATGGCTGTCTCAGCTTACATTGCATATTATTTGTATGAAGATGGCACAAAATTAATGCTTCCATGCTCCACTAAGGAAATCACAGACCTCATCATAAGACCTACTGAATGAAAGAAAATATTCAAGTTCCTTGAAGAAGCGGGACTTAAGGAGATCATTGTGGTACATGTGTTCTCCTTCTGCTTAGTTTCAGCAATGATCTACACTTTTTGGTCATATTTTCTATATTCTGCTGGGAGTAGACTGGGTTGTCATTAGGCTTTGTTCACTTGGTTAGTTAGATCCATGCCAAATATTAAAATAATAATTCTTACAGCAGGTGTAGGAGTGTACTCTGTGACATTCAGCTCCACCATGGATATGTCATCAGAATCTACAGCTGTCTGAAAAATAAACACAGATAAGAAAGACATAAATGACATATAAGTATGTCACAATATTTTACATACATGAAATTCAAAGTGTAGTTAAAAAAAGGGGGGGAGACAACAGAGGACTAACAGAAAAGTAGTGATATGCTAAAGATAGCCTTGGCTTTTATCTCTCACCATGTGTGTCCTTTTGATAGCAAATGGTGAGACAACAGGGTTGGCCATGTGATTTGGACAGTGAAATACAAATATTACTGAATACACACTTAAAACCAAACACAAGGCAACATACCATTCAGATGCTAAGTTCACTAAAAGAGCACCATTGCTTGTCAGAAGTGCAACAAAAACAGCTGAATAATGAACCAGGGTGGAAATAAAAAGTTGATGACCTTTCACGGTCACTTAAGTCTTCACGTACTGTGTTAGCTCATAGGTTATCCCCATCTTCTTGGCAGGAACCTTCATGTTTAATTACGGTAAAATGTGCAGATTTATTAACCTACCAGTTGTCAGAGAATTTAGATATTACACAATCTATTACCTTCTCACAAATCCCAGAATCAAGGCTCTTCAGTTTAGGTTTGGTTCTTATGTCACTAGTTTGAGTTGTGCCTTTACCCATTTTGTAGGAAATCTGTCTGCTAGCAAGTCTGAGCATACTGGGGGTATCAGTTTCTGTGTCAATACAGCCCTAAAATGAAAACAGCAAAAGTAATCACTCTGGGTTTCTTAGACTTCCATCAATTTGCCCCAAGAGAACCAGTTTTACCTAGGCAGGAATTGTAAAATAAACAGAAATTGTATAAAAGACATTTCACATAAGTTATGCCACGTGTGACTTCACAAAATCTTTGCTTATAAGACGTACAAACAAAACTATCAAGTCTTTTGAGTCTAAAATTCAGCTTACTTCTTTTTTCTTTTTTTTTCCCTCCAGAGGATGCACTGCAGATTTTTAAACAAAATAATGTTTTATTATAGTCTGTTGTTGTAACTTCTCTGATGCACGTTGTAGCTGTGAAGAGACAGTGTTTCCATAGTAGTACTCAAATAGAAAGCACAGGGCCAAAGGAGGAATTAGGGGAAAGTTTCCAAAATAGCTTGGGTGGAAGCAGAAATAAGTGGAAGGAAATTAGCAGGGACTGCAGAATCAGTGCTTCAAACATTTTGTTTCATGAACAAGCGCTGATTTTCCAAACTTAACTTAAAGAGAAGGATTTTTTAGAAGAGCTTAGCAAAATAACCAGGAGGACAATCTAAACATTTCTTTTCCTGCTGAAGCACATGAGGTTGGGCTCTACTATTTTTTGGATTGCAACTTTAAAAAAAATGTATACCCTGCTTCCCATTCCATGCATAGAGTGTAGTAGCACATACAGTGTGATTCGATTGAATTTCAAAGTGGAAGTAACTTTATTTTCTGAGCATCTGTTCTGGAGTTGGATATATTTCATTGCAAAGAACTTACTGGAAATTGTTTCCTTAGAATTTTCCAAGGTGCAGAATATCTTTGCATCCACAGGAGTAAAAAAAAAAAAAAATATAAAAAAATTAAAAAAGCATAAAGCTAATTTATTGTCTTACAGTTTGATGACCAGCCATGCCATAAAATACATGACAGCATAAGTACTGCCTTTTTGAATTGCGGGTATATATCTAGAAAGCTTAAATCTCAACTGAGCCACAGATGGTACCAAACAAAATCCAAATAAATTATCCACGAGCATCAAAGCAATTTTGTTTGGTTTAGACTTGAGCCCTTGTTTCTGTTCTGTACTTCAGCTAAACTGATACACTTACTAATAAATCATTGTTCTATGGTCAAATCAAATAGTTAAGAGAAATATGTTCTTTTCAGAAAATCATGACTTTATCACTGTTCTGAACAAGATCTAGAGTTACTCAGTGTTTACAGAAAATTCCAGACTGAAGCATGCCAATTGCTAGAAATTTTTTACTTTTGGGTAACTACTCTGTACCCAGTTTTGTACTTTTTGTTCTCCGCTGTTTTACCTTGAGTATTAAGAGCTGCTTTCCTAAGCAAAAAAGAATTGCTGAATTGCTTGTATGTTTTCCCCTTCCCCGGTAATGATAATAGTACGAAACCACACAATGTTACTGAAGGAGTTTGTTGTGGTTTTTAAGAATCAGTATTTGCAATCTAAAAGACTCAATATAGAAATGTTCTTTTTTTATTAGCCAGTGACTAATATCATGTGAGTGGTGGCTACTAGCCAGTAGAATTTAATTTTTATTAGACTGAAGAAATCAAAGTGTCGGTGTTAAAAACAACTGACAGAATTCAGTGCTTGGCTGGATTAGATACACATATTACCTTGACTATGAAAAAGAATCACCAAGAAAATCATGGCTTTTCATATACTTGGAAATGTCATTTAAAACAATTGCAATGAGTAACTGAAGTGTAACTAAGAGTGTAAAGAGTAAGTAAGTAACTAAAGTGCTTAGTTACTTAGTAAGGTAACTTTGGATTGCAAGAGAGAGCTTAAGATGCTGAGTATTTTCTGTTTCCTGCTACTGTGCAAAACACTGTGTTTCATTTAGACTGGCAGCAACAAGCTGTTGAGGTGATGAGAATGGTTCTGTAATGGATTTACCGATTTGTCTAAATCTAGTGATTAATATGTTTCCAAATTTATCCCGCTTCACTGTCAGAAAACGTTACTGTTTCATTACAACCTTGCTTTCACTAGAGAACTATTTAGTGACTAGCAGTTTTTTGTTTGTGTCCAGACTGCAAATCTAAGCTCGGACAAGTACACCCTCGAAGTATGAGCAGATTTTCAAGGGTGCTCTGACTCGAAGCATCCCTTACTTTCTAAAATTCCTGTTGTTCCATCTTTCAACTCTTCCTTCAGTGTCACCAACCATCAAGAGTACACAGATCTACGTTCTGCTTTTATACTTCAGCCTTCTGTCTTATAATTCACTTTGTCTCTACTTTCTCTGGAGCTCTTGTAATAAGCACCGTAATGAATTTAATCTAAAGAATGTACCAATTTGAAGGACTCTGTGTGAAAATTAATTACTTTGCAATTAAAAATGGGTGTATGGGAAGCGTCTCCCTTACTGATTCACTGTCAGAGAGAGAAGACAGTCGCCTTTTTCCTTTCTGCGGCCCACTTATCTCAGAAGACTGGCTGGTTACGGTCGCTCGTCTGGAGGAGGGATAACTGCTGAAAGACTGTGAGTCTTTAGGAGAAACTCTCAGCAGGGATCCAAGACAAGGAACATATGTTGCAATGGCTGTTCTAATGGATGAGAGGTAGAACCAGTCAATTTTTTTTCCGTTAGCACGAACTTCAGTCATCATAAACAATGCATTTATTCAAAGAGATAAACTAATGCTGCACAGCCTGGAAAATTGCTGAGTACAAAAAGTTTTCCAGATATCCAGTATCTCATTTACAATCATCCTGCGAGATCACTTATTCACAGTGTTCTGCAGAACTAAATTTTTTTGCTTGGCAGGGATGAGAGCATTAAAGTATAACTCTTTGGACTGAAGGGAGTTATTAAAATGATGTTTTGTCTGCTTTCAGCTTAATCAGGGCAAAAAAAAAATTCTGTCCCTTTAAACTAAACCCTGCAGAAGTAACACATAATGAATTATTTTCATCTTCCCCTAAGCAGCAATTCTAGCTTCCTCTTATGCATCTGTTTGCCAGCTATCTGTAAAGTTGTACAAAATGTGCAGTTATATTACAATATTTCTTTCCTCATATGCAGCATAAGGACACTCTTTTGCCTAGCTTTCTTCTTCCTCCCAGCATTCCCCAGTTAGATGTTCATGCCCACCTCTTCTTTATTCAGTTCCTGGGTAGGTCTTTGTAAAGCGTATCTATTGCTTTGCTGCTATCCGTCAGATCTCACAGCCTGCATCTGAACTTGATATGGTAATAACCCTAGATGTTACAGCTCAGAAGAAATATTATCTGAAAAATGAAAGCTTGAAGAAAGCTGGGGGATGTACAAAGTAGGGAAGAGGTGGTTTGACTTCAAATTGCATCTCTCATTGGCCAGGTTAACAAACTGCTATTTGCAACAGTGATAAATGTCTGTAGTTCTCATGAAGATAATTTAAAAAATGATCACAGAATCACAGAATCCCAAGGGTTGGAAGGGACCTCAGAAGATCATCTTGTCCAACCCCCCCGCAAGAGCAGGGTAACCTAGAGTACATCACACAGGAACTTGTCCAGGCAGGCCTTGAATATCTCCAATGTAGGAGACTCGATGGTACTTTCCTTTGAGGTGGGAAGGTCTCTGTATATTATCATGTAATCTGTAAGTACAGATCAGTATCCATAAATGTCTCTAACTCCTATCTCCATAGTAACTTGCTCTAAGTACAAATTCTACTGAAAATATGGCATTAAGAAGTTTTCTAGGGGAGGGTGAGGCTGTCTTGCAGAGGTAAAATGAGCAGGTGAAGGAAAGTTCAGATTCTAGTCCTAAAAGTGACAGTTATTGTCTGATTTTCTTTGCTATATTAAAATTAACTTACAAGAGTGAACTTACCTGTATTTGGGGTGAATGATGGCATAAATGATGGGGTTATGGATGACAGAAGCTTTGGCAATCACAGCTGGTATGGAGTTTGTGAAAGGTGTTAGGACATGAGAATACCTAGAGTAATGCAAATGCATTATATATTTAGTACTGAGTTCTGTGTAGTCTGTGCAGTTATACACTGACGAGACAATGCTTTATTAGTGTTCCAGAGAGAATAAAAGAGGGATTTCCATACCCAGTGAGAGAACAAATTTTACATCCTTTGTCTGTAATATTTAACAGCATTACATTTCTAAGAAACATTTCTAATTACATTTCTGAGAAACGCTATTTTCTTGGGACTTCTCTTGCAATACTTCACTATTGTGACTCAGGATGGTGGTAATTCCCATGCTGACAAAGCCAATATTCCCTAATGAAAAAGTCAGCCTTCAATGTGAACATGCGTTGATCAGGGTATCTCTGTTCCAAACTCAGCAGATATACTTGACCACAGATAAATTTGTGGTTACTAGACAGGTGTTCAGAATGAAGCATTATAGGGAAAGATAACTGAAAAGCCATTTTTCTATTAAAACTTTGTGGGTTTTTTTTCTGATCTGAATTAAAAAATGAAGGGGAAGTATTTTTCTGAACTGAACAATTAAGGGGAAATATTTTCAGGTGTCATATGTCACACTTATGTTATTGTGGCCATGCATATGTACAGGTGATATGACTCTAAAGGATAAAAGAATTATGATGCTATGCTGCTATCAGCCAGTTAATTTTTGAAGGTAGCTTGAAGTAGCCCTTAAGGTTTTGGTCAGGAGAAATCCAATAGAACAACTCAGACCACAATAACAATAACATTTCATAGGCAGTTTCTAGCAGGCAGATTTTCCATAGACCTGCTCGGAGGCTATGAAGATCTTTTCCTGCACTGGTAGAAAGAGTTCTAAGTTAAGTGGCCCAGTAAGTCAGTCTTTCCTCCCAACAATATCCTTTCTGTATCACTGCTCCTCTTCCTGGGAACACAGATCTTTCCATTAGCCTTACGTTCCTATATGATTGGAGAAAACGTTTTTTCCTCTCAGTCCTCTCAGAAGAAGGTCTTTCATATACATGCTGCAAACAAACAACAGAATTGCTTAAGTAGGTGGCAGCTCATTTTCCTGCTGAAGAAATTTTTCATCATGTGGATATTTATGGAAATGGCTCGCTAATGGTGATACAGTAATCATTTTGTCAGCTGCCTGAATATTGAGATGTCATTTCACCTCTAATTCAAGGCTTTTTTCTGATAAGCATGTTCTCCATATACAATTTTTAACATGGTTTCTCCTAATCATACGTTTAAAGCATTGGTTAAAGGTGTAGTTCTTCAGAGATTCTGGAGAACAAACAATAGCATGGCCTTGCTGGAAAGCAGTTTTTGCCCCTGAGATGAGAGAGGAGACGCTTTGGTAAGACTGATGGGAGAGGTCATAGTGACAAAGGCTGAGAAATAGTGACAAAGGCTTCTGTTTAAGCTAACAATTCCCAGAAATACAACCTTTAGGCCAGCAATATTAGTGAACCAGAATATTTTCTAAATAAATTAAGGTACTTCCTTAATTTTGAGTATGTTGTTACTCTGTCAAATGAGTTGCCTTTAGTCCAAGACTACAGCCACAGACTTCCATGTCTGCTTGCCATCTGTGGTACGCAGTGATTTTATCTGAGTTCGTTGTAATAAACATCCACAGAAGACCTGCAGCCTTGGTCTGTTAATCTCTGAAAAAAATCCAGAAGCATTGCCTAAAAGGCATACTTCAGAAATGGAAAAAAAAAATGCTGAATAAAGCTGTGTTGCTCACCAGATGTCTTCATGAGCAAAATTTGCAATTTGTTGCATACTGTAGAATTACAAAATTGTCCATTTGTTCATGTTTTGTCAGTGTGAGATATGGGCTAGAATTCAAGTTCAGCAGGCACTTGATCATCGTAAGGTAGATGCTGAATCATACAGGACAATGTGACATTACTACATAGCTAAAATGTAGAGCTTAAAGCATCTTCTAATTTTTCAGTTATTTTTTTTGGTGGGAGGCAGTAGCTTAGAGCAAGTAGTTCTGCATTGTAGCTGTGCTTCATTTCTTTGTCTTCTCGCTCTTTCTCTCTCTCTATCTGGTCACATGTGACCAGTGGTGGGTACTGAGTACCTAAGTCCCCCTGTGACAGCAAATGGGATGCTGGGGCACATCCTAAGGATTTGTGTTTCTGAGTGAGGAAGGTATTTACCTTCACAGAGAAAATGTTAGCTGCTGCTTGGAATTGCCCCTGTAGATACAAAGGGGGAGAATCCTCTTACCAGTTTTTCTTAGGTATAAGATTTTAGAAATCTATGTTTAGGAAGATGCCTTCCTAAACCATGGTTGAAAAGAGGCCCTGCAATGGCCTCTTCCTCAGGTGTGTAACAGAAATCAACCCTGCATCCCAGAATGCTCTGTCATACGTAAATTTATCCTGTGTGTCAGTTTTAGGAAAACATACTTTTTATTTCTGATTTGAGAAATACAGATACAAGTGCTCTGTACTATCATAGGAGTCTTCCACTTGAGGATTTGCAGCTGACAAGACTTTGTAAAGCAGATAGTCACAACATTTTACAAAGACCAAACTGAAACACAGGAAAATTCACAGGTTAACATGGGAGAAATACTTGCATAGAGCCAAGGCATGTGGACTTCCAATCCATTACTTACTCTGGATTGTATCAATTACAGTCTGGTATCAGGCTATGTACAGATACAGTATTAATAGTATCATACTTTTGTTGAAATTACTGCATAGAATGCTGACAACTAAATAGATGAAAACATGGTTAGGTTGTTTATATGTATGATCTTTTATATCCAACATGAAAAAGCTCCCCAGTGCAAGTATATACTAATTTTGAACTTGCTTGTCATGTAAGTAATTTCAGCACTTTGGTGTAACACAATAAAATTAATAGACTTTTGTAAGTAAAAGAAGTGGAGAAAGAAAAGAGAATCAATTCGTGGGTGGATTTTTGGGGCCCCTTATTTAGCATTGTGGTGCTAAATAAATTTCAAATGTTTCAAATATCCTAGTGCAGAGAATCTGCATTCAGGAGTCATCAGCGCAGTAATGTTATGTTGCCAGTAACAATCACAGTATCACAGTATCACAGTATGTCAGAGATTGGAAGGGACCTCAAAAGATCATCTAGTCCAATCCCCCTGCCGGAGCAGGAACACCTAGATAAGGTTACACAGGAACGTGTCCAGGCGGGTTTTGAATGTCTCCAAAGAAGGAGATTCCACAACCTCCCTGGGCAGCCTGTTCCAGTGTTCCGTCACCCTCACTGAGAAGAAGTTTCTTCTCAGGTTTAAGTGGAACCTCTTGTGCTCCAATTTGTACCCATTACCCCTTGTCCTTTCATTGTTTGCCACTGAGAAGAGCCTGGCTCCATCCTCGTGACACTCCCCCTTTATATATTTATATACACTAATAAGGTCACCCCTTAATCTCCTCTTCTCCAAACTATAGAGACCCAGCTCCCTCAGTCTTTCCTCATAAGGGAGATGCTCCACTCCCTTAATCATCTTAGTTGCCCTGCGCTGGACTCTCTCCAGCAGGTCCCTGTCCTTCTTAAACTGAGGGGCCCAGAACTGGACACAATATTCCAGATGAGGTCTCACCAGGGCAGAGTAGAGGGGAAGGAGGACCTCTCTCGACCTACTAACCACCCCCCTTCTAATACAACCCAGGATGCCATTGGCCTTCTTGACACAATCTTCCTTTTTTTTTCATAACTTTCTTTCTAAGTCAAACTAAGAAAAAAAAACAGAGTTAGCATGTGCCTCATTTGTTAAATGTCACTCCTAAATATGTGAATGTTTTGGCTGCACTTCAGGCATTAAAATTGACAAGTAGCTTTGACTTTCATCTGTTTTCTACAGTTTTACACCTTTTGCTTTCACTGAATATTCCTTTGTTGATACATTCATAATTACCCAGCAAAAGCTACCAGAGCAACAACAGAGTATGGTGACCACGAAATGACATAAAGCAAGATGACAATCAGTGCTATTTTGGCCATCTTCCACTCATTTTTCATCCTCTGATACTGTTTCTGGAACTCTTTATTTCCATGTTTGCATCCAAAAGCTTGAATAGACCTAGGGGAAATAAACATACAACAGCAAAAAAAGGAGGTAGGGAATTGAGAAAATGGCTTCATGATTTTGTGGCAACAAGTACTCTTATGCTAGTTTATGCTGTCATGCACTTTTAATGTGTGTTAATGTATATATGTGACCAGTCCTTTCATTGCACTTTCATTGCACTAATCAGTGGCAAATTCATATGTGCTTTAGTAAAGAAAATAGTCCCATGCCAGAAGAATTTCCATATAAATTGGGTATTCAAGCATTGAACAATGCTGTGCTAAATATCATTAGAGAAGTCTTTGCTTCTATAGGTCCGATTTTGCTACCTTACTCTCACTTTGTGCTTCTGAGCTGTGTGACTAGATATGCTGATATCTACAGGACAGATACCTACAGATGACAAATGTAGTGGCAGACATTGACCTTTATTTTTACAACAATAGCTTTTCTTTCAAAGGCCTTTAATTAAATGGTTTACCTCTTTTCACCCTTTGTCAAACTTGTAGTTTAATTTGACCTACTTTTTGTGGAATAGTTGTTGATACAGTGTTGTTAGGTGTCTGATATTCTTCTGGTATTTCTTTTGGTTGGTTAATTTCTGTGCTTCTTTTGCATCCTTCAGATTTCTATTGCTGCTACTCATACCATTTCCTGCAGCATTAGCCAATAGACTGAACAGCTCTAGCTTACATTCAGGAATGGCCCTTCTAAGCATCATGCTTCTTACCATGTTAACTGTTGACAGAATTCTTGTTTGGTTTCCTCTTTCAGTCATGCATACAAATTAAAAGTCAAATCTTCACAATTTTCTTTTCTTAGTCTTTGTTTCAAGAAAATAAGCAGGCAATGAAATGGAAGGATAAAAGCTTAAAGCTGTTGCCTACTTACTTGTTGGCCTTCTTGATAGCCTCAAATATAAAGACATAGCTGTATATGATAGCAATCAAAGGAATGAAAAAGACAAAGCAGAAAAGCAGCATTGTGTATGCACGGACTGATGGTGTCAAAGTCATGTAGTCCCAGGAACAGGAAGTCATTAGACCCTCAGGAATATATGCACCTAGGAAGAAAGACAAGAAAATGCATAAGCCATGAGGTGATTCTTCCTCTGCAGAAGTAAGAGAAAGAAACTTAGAATAGCATGGGATTTAGTCCCATTCTCATAAAGGGGAAAAGTCTTAAAGGATACACAATGCTTTGTTCAAAGCACTTCTTTTTATTTTCTTTTACTCTGTTGCCCTGTTGTATTTATGTTTAGAAGTCTAAGGCTCCGTATCAGAAAGCTGAATAATTTTGTTTCATAGAATCATAGAATGGTTTGAATTGGAAAGGACCTTAAGATCATCTAGTTCAAGCTCCCCTGCCATGGACAGGGACATCTTGCACTAAACCTTGTCGCCCAAGGCTCTGTCCAGCCTGGACTTGAACGCTTCCAGGGATGGAGCTTCACAGCTTTCTCAGGCAACCTTTTCCAGTGCCTCACCACCCTCACAGTAAAGAAATTCTTCCTTGTATCTAACCTAAATCTCCCCTGTTTAAGCCTGAACACATTGCCCCTTGTCCTATTGCTACAGTCCCTGATGAAGAGTCCCTCTCCAGCATCCCTGTAGGCCCCCTTTAGATATTGGAAGGATGCTATGAGATCCAGGCTGAACAGACCCAACTTTGCTAGCCTGTTTTCATATGGGAGGTGCTGTAGCCCCCTTATTATCCTCATGACACGTCTGTTGTTTTTTGTTTGTTTGGGTTTTTTTTTTTAATTAAAGGATTATAAACACATGGGTGAACTTTATTTTGCAGTTAAGGGAACAACCAGGAAAGCAACGACTGCCTGCAGTACTTGTGGTGCCTGGGGTGTTGCCTGTGGTGAAAATGAACCAGGTGTACAAGCAGACTTCCATCACTGCATTGAGTCCTTGATTTATCTTCTCTTTCCTCTCCAGTGAGTTTTTTGTTCTCCTTCACCAATGAATGAATATTCCTGACCACCCCCCATGCCTGGCTCTATCTCTATTTTCAGTGTTTACTCCTCATTCACAAGCTTGACATTTGGACATTCATCACAAACAAGTTCATGAGTCATCTGGAAACATCCAGGACCCAACTGGGTGGTCCTCATCTCCTGATGGCAATTTTATTTCCATTTGCCAGGTGCCTGTCTTACCACTGGCTTGTTCCTGACAACTTCTATGAAGTTTTCTGAATATACCTTTTCAAGTCTAGCTCCAGGTCCACAATGATGTTTGTTCCTTGGAGAATGTTCTGTCTTATTGGCAAGGGTTACCTCCAAACATGAATCAAAAGTCCCCAAAGAAGTGTGAGAAGATGTTTCCATGGGAGCTCTGGTGCCTATCCTTCAGTCCTCCTCACAATATGCATTATACTTCTTCCTCTTCTCATCTGACGGCACCTTACAGGCAGCCCCAGGTCCTGGAACTTTCATGTCCAGGAGTTGTCATGGTTCTTGTCAGGATGGAGCTGCAGCACCAGTTTCTGGTAGGCCTTCTTGATGTCCTTAATGGAGGCGCTGCAGGACATTCCCCAGGATCTTGCAGAAGCGCCTCACGGTGGCAGCCTTCCCACAGAGGCACAGCAGCAGGAGGCAGAAGCAGCCAAGCCGGCTAAGGGCCATGGCGCAGCAACCACGCCTGCCGGGGGAGGCAGCAGCATTTCAGTTCCTGAATGTTGTTTAAAGCTCAACGTAGTCAAAGGGTATCTCTCCAAATACTTAGTGGATCTTGGAGCGGACCTGCATTGTTTTTAAATATCTCCCTTTCCTGTCAAATTGCCTTCCCAAGGAGTGAAAAGAAGCTGATTGCTACAGCTACCACTTTTTTAAGCTTGTGCAGCCAAGAGAAATTTACTATGCAAGGGAAAATGATTTCTTGTGCAGATCACAGATCAATTTTGTCATGAGGTATAGTTCAGTACAAAGAAAAAAGATCATACATGCATAATATTCTGCCTGATATAAAATATAATCTACTTAAAGGACCTGTGTCAAAATGTTAAGTAAAAAAGTTGTCACCAGCAGTGTCTTCTTAACTTTATATTTTAATTTTCACTGTTTTCTCTAATATTTTCTGTTGAATTGTTAAAAGTATTGCACCAGATGTGCTCAGATACATTTAACTGAAGTATGAGAGTTAGTACTGTGGTGCTATTAGAATCTAATTACAAGGTAACAACACCCTTCAAGCAACTGTTTTACCTTCTATAATTAAGAATCTAAAATCTAAGACTACATTCTCATTTTGTCATTCTAATAGCTACTCATTCAAGTAAAGGCTTCTTCTCCCAGTACTGCAGTTCGCCTGCTTAAACATACTTCATGTTTATGGGTGACCAGAATGACAATAACAAGACAATAACAAAATTCTGCCGAAATACTACTCAGTATCCGAGTTGGTTGCAGCATCCTTTGGGAAGGTCAAACATTGCTGTGTTCTCACCTCAGCTGAGCTAACACATTCCCTTCTGGAATTAGGAAGAACAATAATGGGCTAGAGGTTTGAATGAGTTTATTCTAACTGACTGAAATGGATGACTCATAGGAAACAAATAATGGTAGAAAGAGGGATTAAAATGAGGAAGAATAACAGAAACTCTATTTGTGACAAGTTGCAAGGATCGAGATGCTGCATTTGTGTTCCAATTTGCAGGCATAAGATTCACATTTACAAAAGCAAATTAGTTACTAATTGACATCCTTATTGGAAGCCGAAGTGAAGATACCAATGGCTGAGTGGAGAATGGAACCAAAACCTATGCAATCTGTCCATCTAGAATATAGTCAAGACTTACTGAAGATATACTTGCAAAAAATACTCAGATTGTATTCCTCTTTTATGTGAATTATTTCACTTATATTTAATTGGATTTGGTTCAGTGGAAATAGGTATGGAAAAATAGGTGGCTGCATCCTGCCAAGGCCAGTTTTCAAACTGATTTTATCTACTGTTCTTTATTCAGTAAATAATGAGCTTAAGAAAGAGTGCCATTGTCATATAATATGCTGTAATACACTTCCTCCCCCCTTTTGATTAGAGATCTTTAGTTTCAATACATATTTTATTAGTTTTCTTCAAATCTATTTATTCAAGCCTAATATGCAACCATTAACCCTCTTCTATACTTGTAACTGGTCTTTAATCCAGTGCTATGAGGGGAAAAAAAACCAACTTTTATTCCATTTAACTTACTCCATCCAAAGAAAGGTGGGAGGCTCCAAGCCAAAGAGTACAGCCAGACTCCTACCAGGATTATTAGGGCCTTCTTCTTAGACATCACTCCAACAGAAGCCAGAGGTTTTGTGATGACAAAATATCTGTCCAAGGCAATCACCATCAAAGTGATCATAGATGTAATGCCAAAAAGAGCTCCGCAGAAGGCATACAGCTCACAGCCTTTCAATGAAGATGACAGAAGTAGCAGTGAAATTAATCTACCATGCTAATTAATTTCTGGGATAGTTCAAGACTGCATTTCTTGTGAACAAATGTCTTCTGGAATTTGTAAAGCAATGGAAGTTCACTTTTCCTGCAGTTGGAATGCTGTCTCAAAGCTGCTGTCTATCTTGCCAATTACGTTATTTGTGGAGGTAAATTTCAAAGATTTTGTTTGCTTGAATTGCTGGAAACAGTGACACTTACCATGTTTTTACTCACTGATTTCTGATGTTTCTAGTGGGATAATTTTAACATTCCATTAGTGGCTTGTTTAACTCCAGTCTACTGCAGCTCCAGTAGAAATGGATGTTTTTTTAGTTATTTTTTTAGTTTTTAGTAGCTATTAGTAGTTATAGCTACTTTGATATCATAGAACCATTTACATTTCAAGGTCAGCATAGCTGAAGCAAATATGCAGACTATGAGTATATTAATGAGTGATTCTGCTGAAGTAAATATGCAGACTATGACTACATTAATGAATTATTTTAATTATTGAAACAGCCTAGTGATTAAAAGCAGTGGTTTGGGGTTTCATTTTAACGTGTATACTTGAACCCTTTGTGGAACTAGAAAAACTGCTTTTGGTCATCAGAGATCAAAATAGCAACATTACCTCTCTGACCTTCTTGTCTGTTGATACGTGTTCAAGAAGCAAGAATGAAGGCACCTTCATTCTGCATCTTTCTGCATAGGAAATGTTCTGTTAATATTTCTGTTGTTAAAACTCACTTTTGCCAAGCTTTCTTGCCTCACTTTGCCAAGTGCCAGTCCCAGAGCAGGTTATTTAGAAGAGCTTTTAAGCTGGTGTGTTGTGGGATGGCGTTGCTCATAACTTCAGAGCTAAGGTATGACATAACTGGCGAAGAATTCTGGCAAGAAGACTAGTCCTGTGCCTTATCTACCTCATGTATGTAATTTTCCTCTTCCTGGTGGGACTGTTATTTATTGCACACAGGCAAAAATGTTCAAAGAAACATTTGTGTCAACACTGAAACAATGTTGAAAAATGTTCTCAACATTTCAAGTGGACCTGAGGAAAAGGAAATAACAGTTTAGCTGCCACTATGATAAGAACATACTTAGTGATAATCTTATAAAGAATATATACAAACCTTTCTCACCAAAAATCCAGCGTTTGTGGAAGCTGTTGGTGAAAAAAACTGGAGACTGTGTAATGGACATCAGGAAGTCACTAATAGCTAGATTGATGATGAATATGTTGGCTGGAGTCTGAAGGCTCCTACTCCTAAAGAGAGCAGAAGAAATACTACTACACACTGCTGCACTGTTAATTACATTGTTGCTCTTTCCTGTGAGCTTTGTCAGCTTCACAAATACCAAGGCACACTCTATTCAGTAAACTAGAGCAGAGTGCTTCTCATTTCCTTCACAAAAGAACATAAGCAAGGCTGTTTTATACCTTTATATTCCTGTGCACTTTAGAGGATTCACAGCTCAGTGACGGGGATAAACTGTATTGTTCTTTAAATATTCTGACCCAGTGCACTGCGTGTCCATGATTAACAGGAAATTAAAGTGATGTACTCTATGGATTTCTGGATCTATGTCATTTTAAGCAGGGGGAGGGGAGTGCATTTCCCACTACTGATAAAACCAGCAGTGACAAATACAGGGATTAAGCAAACTCACATGCACCACATCAAGCATTTTGGTTTACATCCATTCTTCTCTGCAACACTCATTTCACTGCCCAGACACTAACTTTAAACAGATCAATAGCCATCCTTCAGTGTATCCTGCTTGTATATGTTATTCACAGTATTGTAGTATAGTGTTCTAAGGGGTGCACATAAAAGCTCAACTGAGAACTCCTCAGCTTGCCGTCTCTGTGTAGCATTTTAGCTCCTTTCTCTAATTTTCAATATGAGACACAATTGAAAAATACCAGCGTAAATGATGCGTTCTTCGCACTGATCCAGAATCAATTGATAGGGCTACTGTAACCTATTTGCAGTTTAGGAGCAAGAAGTTATTAGTAGATGCTTATGGGCCACTTGTATTTGTTCGGTAGTCTGCAAAGTTACTGAATATATTTCTGTTTCAGGCAGCTGGTTGTCTTACAGTTTGCCATTACTTGAGACAGCTTTGTAGGCATCAGACGTGTTGTCCAAACTTCTGATGTATTTATTACTTTGCAATCAATATCTCTTTTCTGTCTTTGTAACGTCTTCAAATGAAGACAAATGTCCTTCAGTGGAACTGCAACTGCCATGACTGGATGTCCTGTATGGGACCAGCCAAAGAGCTAAGGAGCTCAGGTACTTCATGCTCACATATATGGTCTGCATGCCAACACCTAGTCTGTTTTTAAGGCCATATCTTTCATGCTGAAGTGTTGGTATCTACTATGAGTGCACATACTGAAACCTGCCATTTAATGCACCACATAAATATAGGCTCGACACCCAGCCTACTTTCACCCACACTCCAGTGATTCAAGTTAACACAGCCAAACTATCATATAATTGCTGTTATTTTAGTTTTTACATTTGTTCCCGAAGATCAATAATGAAGTAGAAGCTCACTGGCCTGGACATTGTGCCAATGCTCTGCCCAAGTGTGACAAAACAGAAACAGGATGGCAGAACAGGAATGGTGAAAGTATCACATTGTTGTCAGAGACCCAGTTTCCTTCAGATATAAAAGCTGGATTGTGGCTTTCGTTAAAAGGAAATAAGCCAAGTGTTAGAAAATGTGAAAACAAGAGACATGACAGTAAGGAACAGAGTGGGAAAAGAAACTGAGTAGTAAGCAGCACTTCTAAAATAGAGAAGGTATGTGGGAGACACAGGTGCAAAACTTCCCATCAGTCCAGTGCAGACACAATTCAGCCAATAGAAGAAAAAAAAATTCACTGGGTGGTTTTTGCTTTGGCTGCTTTTCTATTGCTTGACATATCTGTGATTCTTTGCAGTTTTACTAAGAGTTTTCCTGTGGCTACAGCAGTGTCTCTTGGTGTATTTTACTATGTCTGGATAGTAGTCTGATGGTACGTTGACTGTGCTGCATTTGCAGAGCACAGTCAAGGTACTGTTAATGTTCATAAATCTGAGTATTTAAAAAAAAATCCAAAAGACAGATACCTGCAGAAAGCATAGATGACCAGGAAATTACCCAGAGTTCCTGTGATTCCCACAATAAGAACAACTACTCCAATTGTATAGTGGGCATGGTCTGGGACATCCACTGTAGGAAAGGCACCAGGCACATCTTGCACTGTCATCTTCTGTGGAGTAAGCAAGAGGTCACAGATATATCAGACTTTACTGAATAAACTGGCATATGCTTCTCTAGAGGAGGAAATGGTCAAGAATGCAAAAAAGCAGCAAGCAAAAAAAAAAAAGTTAATTGCTTTTAAATCACATCTACTGTTGATCATCTTCAGGAGACAAATATGCCATCAGCAGTGCAAAGGTCAAAGGGCTGTTTATATATTTACTGTTGGTTTAGAATGTTGATGAAGAAACACAATCAATTTTCTCCCTATAGAAAGATAAGGATATAGAGAACTGAAAAGAGACAGGAGGGGACCCTTTTCATTGCATCTGACATCAAGTAATGCAGTGCTAAACAAGTAAGTTTTCTGTAGTTTTCATTTCAGGGGCGTTTCTGTACCTGTGAAGTACAGTTTCTGTGGATGAATATGCATTTATTTCTTTAGTAGTATGGCTATTTCAATTCTCCTGCTGAGTAACACTGAATTGTGAGCTGCTCTCAAGACTCAGTTACCAAAAGCCTGGCAACATTCAGCAAGAGTTCCTTGGAAACTAAATTAAGGATCAGAAAAACTAAACCACAAATCCTGTGTACCTTATGCATGGTTTCCATACCAGTTCAGTTTTTGCTCTACACTGAATTAGGGTATTATGCTGTCTGTGAAGTATGTGACAAATCACTTGATGAAAGCATATGTGTCTTAATCAACTAATAACTTACAGCAAAATTTAGTAGCCAAGTCTGAAGACTACAGCATTTTAAACAATAATTTAAAAACATTTTTTGGTTACTTATCAGAAGCCATGAACACATTTTAAGCTGAGTGACCCCAGATTACTAATGAAGCAAACAATAAGGCTGCATCCAGGAAACAGGATGACCTGATAGACCTTGAAGAGAACAGCTGTCCAAACCATCACTGTTCTGCTACCTTTTGCCATAAGGTCAGGCAGGGAGACTTACAAACATTCACTTCTGTGCAACTGCCACTGTCCTCGACGTGTCTTGGCATCAGCTCCAACCACCTAATGGAGTCATGACAAATATCAAGTCCTGTCCTCACTCATCTGCATGGACAGATCCTGTCTGTTCTTCATAGCCAGGCTTACCTCATCAAGGGTGGCAGTCAATGTGGAATGGCATGCCAACGCCACTGCTCATAGCTCAAGCCTGCAAGATGCAGCCATGGCATTCCTCAGCTGCTGAGCTACAAGAATCACACAAGGATTGAGAAATGCATGGGAAATGTTTTGAATCATTTGTAGCCTCCCTACTATGAACACTTGTCAACTTGGCTGTGGCCTAGGATCCAGGACAAGTGAATTGCCTGTATCAAGGTCTGTGCCTTTATCAAGATTAAATAGTGCTATGAGGCTGTATATGTTCTTTTGAATTGTAAATACTGGCAGGTGGTGGTACAGCTGTCATATGCAGTCATTCCTTCCCAGGAAAAGGAAGGTTGCTGGTACGAAAGGAGGAAAGTCCACATGGGTAGACATGAAGTTCTCCCTTTTATGCTGCGGTTGTTTATGCAGTAGTTGATATTTGCAGTCAGAGTGCAACTCAGAAATGCCTTTGACAATACCCCAGTTACCAAAGGAAATGGTTATTTTCAGACAATAGAGGCAGACATTACTTCTGAATACATCTGTGAAATTGGGCAGAAGTTATGAGAGTGTATATTTAAAACAAGGGTGGCAATACCAGGAGTTGAACCCCAGGACTGTTTGGAAATCTGGAAGAGGTTGTCTTTGCTTGTATGCTGAAGATTTGCCCACAACAATCCTCAACAACTAGAAAGCACTCCCTGGGTTTGTGCATTAGCAGCAATAAGATGCTGGACAAATACCGTGAGCTTAGAGAAAGATGTGGATATGGCTGTTACTGTAATTGGAGCAGGAGGTTGAAGTTGATATACTAACTGAATAACAGTATCATGGCATTTGTTGTTCAGGTTCCTCTACCAAATTGTAGGTTGGCGTCACATCATCAACAACAGTGGGCATCTTGCCTAGTTAGAAATTGCTGTGCCTAACACACTGCCAGTAAAATAACCCCAAAAATCCCACACTAATAGCAAGCGGAGAGGGAGAGTCTGAGATAAAAGTGTTTCAAATAAATGAGATTGGGTGTTCCTTGGTTTGTTTTGGGTTTGTTTGGGTTTTTTGTTGTTTTTTTTTTCCTTAGGTTGTGGCTCAAACATATTTTAACTGCTGTTCTAAAGAGAGTTCATGATGATTATTAATGGAATGGAGATTTCTGATGTTTTTTCCTGTAGTTATCCATTTAATCAGAACTGGATCAAGGTAGCAGAAATGAAGCAACTAAAGGAGCTTGTTTTGGCTACAGAGAACAGATTAAAGTGGTTTTAATTTGAATTGAATTTATGGAGAACTAAGGACAAGGAAAAATTTAAAAGGTAAATATAAATACACAGGAAAATCAGAAGAGAGAAAAGGTTATTTAAGGGACAGTAGAAGACTATAAATTTACTTGCTCAGGAATAAAACAAGTTCAGAATCAACAAAAATGTCAAGTGTGAAAAAAATAAAGGAATAACGTAGTGGAGCCATGATAGAACATAAGTACTATTAAATATATGGGGGGAATAAATACATGGGAGGAAAGAGGAACAAATTCACATTTTAGCGTGGACTTCCTGTTGGCTTGGGATTTTTACCACAGGGTCCAATTCTGACTACTCTCTAAGAGGGAAAAGTCATTTATTAAAAAAAGTAATTTCAGTGCTTTTGTTGGAAATACAGAGCTGCTTCAAAGTTTCTTTAAGGCAAAGAGAAGTACTGGTTGACTGACAAGGCATAAATAAGACCTGACCCCTTCAAGTTCATCACTAAGTTGCATGCATACTGCTTCCTTACTAGAAAATGAAAACACGTGCCTGTATCACCCTTAGTTGCAGATCTTCTACAGGAATTGTACTTCAAAATAAAGGACAAGGAGAAAAAGATAGTGCTTGAAGAAATCAGGTCAGCAGCTTAATAAAAAAATCAGACAATTCCCAAAGCTTTTCTCTATTCAGTTTCTCCAGCAGATGGGTCTTATTTAGCCTCTGTCTTCTGTTTTCACCCCATGGTATGAGTATTTGGTTGGCAGGGAAGAATAAAACCCCGCTGTTGCAATTTCCACTGTAGCTATTGTTCAACCAAGAGGTTGGACATTTTCCAGGGGATGGACAAATGGGCCACAGCTTTCCTGAGTCAACAAGATACTTGCACCTGAGGCTCTAGACCACTGGGTGCCAGTATACTCACAGACCAGCTGTGCTGCAGGTGGCTTGGGTCGGTATTCATTCTGTAGGAAGCAATTCATTGGGAAGCACCAGCTTCCTGAGAGTCAATATAAACATTGCACATTTCTCAAGCAAGCATAAAATGGTCATGGAAGCTGTAGAGGACATCAAGGAAGTAACTGTAATGTAACAAAATTTCCTTACAGTAAGTACTGAAAGTCAGTTGGAGAACATATTGTAGCCAAGGACATCATTTTAGTCAAGCTTAAAAGCAAGGTTTATCATAGAATTATAGAATAGTTAGGTTTGGAAAGGACCTTAAGATCAACAAGTTCCAACCCCCCTGCCATGGCAGGGACACCTCCGTCTAAACCATATCACCCAAGGCCTCTTCCAACCTGGCCTTGAATAATACTGTTTTAGTATGTGAAAAATGGCCTTTCACTAGAACTGTAAAATAATTTGTGTTCTTAATCTCCAATAGGCATATAATTTATTATTTATTTACACCATAGTTTTGCATAATCAGATAATTTTGGTGTCATCAGGAACTTGGAAAGTGCCACACTGATTCAGAGCACCGTTCCTGACAAAACACTAGCCTGCCTTTAGCCACAACTGGGTGTTTCACAGAGCTTCAAAACATGCATAGTGAGCAGTGATGTGGGAATTTAATTTTCACTATAGAGTCTTAGCAGTTAATTTGTACCCTAAACCAGGCTTACTGTCCATTTGAAAGGATAATCTTAGAGGAGGATATTTTTATTCTCCAGATATAGGTGTAATCCTTTTCTAAATCCTTTGCCTCAATAGAGTTAGTGGCAGGAAGTTAAGAAGTTCTGAAGTTGCCCTACATTAGTGTGTTTCCTTCCAGCAGGTTTAAGTATATCTTTGTGAAAACACTAGAATCGAGGGAAACAGCTAGGTTTAATGCAGTCTACTTTCTTAAAATGTTCACTGTTCTCCCTAAGGAAATGCTTGTCTACTGCCTGCAACAAAACAGCTGAAACAGAACTGACCACGTTTTCAGTTACCATTCAGTAAATTTGACTGAGACTTACAAATTTAAGATGTTTTTTGGGAGTTTGGAGAAGAGGGAGCATTTGATAGATAAATAGGTCTAAGTCCTTTCTGTTCTGGCCTTGTCTGTGGAGGCTGCAGCACAACATGGAGCCTCATTCTATATCTATGACCTGTTGCCCCAGCTGGTTACAAGGGAAGCAGAATTCTTTCTGGAGGGCCAGTCTGAGGAGCAGCCTGCTTCTTCAGGAAGAGAACAGTGCACTGTCATTTCTGCTAAGGCTTGGTGCAAGCAGGGTGTTGTGGCTTAAGCACTGAACCCAGGACACAGAGAACGGGGTAAAAATGAATCAGCCACAGAGAACATCAGTGTAGGGCAGAACTTCACCATGATGTTTGTTAAGACCCTGCAAGACGCTGCTCTGAAGAGAGTTAAAAGGCTAAAGGAATTCCTTTGCAGTCCAGGACAAAACAGTGATTCCTAAGTGATTTACCCAGGTTAGAAGAAATTCTAGATCAGATACAAAACCCAGGAACATTTGACACCTGCATCTATTCTGTCTTGGGAATCTGTTTATTATACACATCTTCATAAAGAGACAACTCTTAGTTATTTTGTAATCTACTAAAAAACCCCAAACAAGCAAAAAAACCCACCAAACATCAAAACCAAAACACAACAAACCAACACAAACCAAAAAAACCCCCCAAACTAGCTTAGAATAACTTTTAGCAGAGAACATACCATTTTCAAAAGGACAACACACAAACAATGCAGTTCAACTATTACTGTGGAAAAAAAAGCACCCTGTTTTCAAAGTAAGAAAAAGTTCATATCACTTAACTAACTGTCCACTTGGAAATGTTGGTTGGTGAAGTTCTACTAAAGCTAACAGTGTTGATGGTAGGAGCAAAGCCATGAATGTAAATACTTATACTGAACATAAAACCATGTTTGATATAGCCCACTCCTCATGTTCTCCCAATGGCAAGAGTATAAAGCAAGGTTTAGTTTATACTTACAGGGGAAGCAGAAATCCTCATAAGGTCATTTGGTGATTTTAACATATTTCAGTGCTGGTTCTGATTGATTAATCGATTTTTATTTTTGTGTGTGTGACATTGTCTCAAAAGCCAGGAACAGAAGAACAGAAAAGACTAGGACAAGGACTTTTTTCAGCTACCTCTGCCTGGACATTGGATGGATTGTATCTAATTTGGTGTAAAACAACACAAGGAAAGGGGCATAGGGACTGTTATGTCACTGCTTTTATGAATTCATCTGACTTCAGACTGTAGGCATTGGTATTGCAGACTGAAAGCTTCAATGGAACAGAGCCCAGTTCCAAAACATAACAAGTTTTGACAGTCCCACATTGATTTTGGCAATGTATCAAGTTTCTTTGTTCTTAATTTTCCTACAAATACAGGTAAGGAAGTGGCTTATTTACACAGTAGGACGTCTACAACCAATGGTAGCATTAGGCCTTTTACATTACAGCAAATCATACAGTTTAGAAAAATTATCAGAATAGAAATACTGTAATTTCCTAGGTTTCTAGGGGCAGTGTTGGTACTGCCTACCTAAAAGGGACTTTGAACAACTGGTAACACTTATTTTTCTTTACAGTTCCTTGCCCTGATTTCTGAGCTTGCCTCTGTAAGCGCTTGCTCTGTGATGACAGGCAGCACAAAGAGGAGTGTAATCCCACCTCAATTATGGTTTCAGCAGGGTGACGCCAACTGCTAAGCCCTCTTTCCAGTAGACAGCAGGACTTTCCTTAGATGATGCTTTTCCTGTTGAGCAATTTGGATAGCAGATTTTGTATCCTATCTTCCGGATTTAATGTCAACCATAAGCAGCACTTATTGCTTTCAGTCCTGAAATTCTCTTAAACCAATCTTTGTGTCAAATTAAAATGCAAAACTTTAAAAATACACACACTTGGCCTGGAGAGAGGAAAGAGACAGCTATTTATGTTTTTTCAGCAGAATAAGGAAAAAAATCAATTTCTGATTTTCTGATGTAAGTCACTCTGTCCCCAGAATCCTTTTCTGTTTTTCCATGTGCTCTCCAGCCCCTGTTATCCCTGCCTGCTATGTTCCGCTGTACTCTTTTTTATGTTATCCATCTAATTTAGTTTTTAAGCGCCTTGGCTCAGGACACTTCTCTGTTTATCTTTCTGTAAGACACTGCACAAATCCAGTTTTTATTAAAATATAAATAACCAGACTGCATTTTTACTATGCAAATACTAAAATATTTACTGATCCTTTATTATAAATTAGGATCAAACTGAAAAACTCAATCCAACATCCTATATGCATAAAATCTTCTGGAGTGTTTGTGTTGAAACTTGAACACAGTTTTGAAGTGTCTACTGTGTTATGTGGGCCATGCCAAAATACCTGGTATGACCGCATCAAGAATTTAAGCTGAATTTCAGATTTGGAAAACTTTTAAAATTAGCTTGTTTAAAGTATTTTGTTCTTTACTTTTAAACAGACTTCTGTGTAAACAACAGGTGAACAAAACTGTGTCGTTCTAATAGTAGGCTGAGGTACGCAACAGGGAAAGGACTTCTGACTTCTTTGGTTTGGGCTTGTGGGTGGGAATGGAGAATATTTTTAGCCAGCCCAAAGGAATTTGATCCTGAAATGTCTTCACAGTAGAGTCTCACCTTCACACCTCTAAGGAAATTTTCTTTCTGTTTAGTACTTAACAGCTGAGAAAGAGCGTTGATAGAACTTACCTGAAAGCCTTCTGAACAGATCTCTTGGGTAACTGCAAATAACGACTCTTTAACATTTACACTCCACTTACAGACTGTTACAGAAATTAGGGGGATTTACATCTTGAATAGTAACACAAGACAGCATTGTGTTTAATTACTAAACAGCTGTTTAATGCTCAAGAACCTGTTGTTTTGACAGTTTGCAACGTATTTGGTGTGCTTTGCCATTAGCCCTTCCTCCCGATCTTCTACCCCCGTTAACTCTGCTGAAAAACCCTACCTCTACAGTCCTTTTTGCGGTAAATAAGTAGTAAAAGGAATCAAAAGAAGATATTACAGTTTTCATTAGGTTGTTCATTATGACATTACAGCAACGAATGTGTACATGCACCTTAAATGTCCATTTACAGTTCCACAAATGCCAGCTTTGCCAGCAGAACTACTTGCTACAGCTTTTAGTGACAGAAAACACTTACTGTTGGGGCTCTAAGCAGCAGCTCCGTCAGTGTGTAGGCATTGGCTTCCAAGTCATTCCAGGTGTTGAAGGACTCCACAGTTTTGGTGCAGTTAGGGTCCTCAGAGGGACAAGAGATCTCCTTTGAATGGGCTGACTATTCACATGAACAAAATCTAAGAAAAAGAAAGAAAAGCTCTCCTCTGAATTTAGTCAGCCAATTTACCTTTTTATGTGTATGTAAAGCAGATTGTTAGATTCTCTGGAATAACGTGAGGTCCAGTGCAGAGTTTCCCACTAGAGTTTCAGATTGCTTCACTCCATCTTCAGCTTAGCAAAGGGCAGCAGCAGCAGCTTCCACTTAAATACAGGAGGCAGCAGGGTCTGCACATGCCCAGTTTGAAGATTATTCCATGCAGATTCCAGCTGCACTTTAATGAAAGTATATAAAACTAATGCTGACTTAAAAGTGCTGTTTTCTTTTCTGCCATTGACAGTTATGTGTCTGAATTATAATGCTATATCCATATTATCCACGTGTGAAGACAAACAAGTTAAAAGATTGACTTCACTGTCTGTTGTAAATATTAGACTTCACTGATCATTTTCACTGTACTGGTAAATCAGTTTTTTGTAGTCTGCTTTTAAAGAAGATGTATGTGTACAGTTCTGCTGAAATTGGCTGAACTCAGATTCTGATATTTAACAATGTGCTTATGTGCACTTCTGTCTTGTAGAATTTAGGTCACAGTTGGTCCACTTCTAAAAATAAACAAAAAATAGGGATAAAACCCACTGACATCATCTTTTTCAGCTCTTCAGTTAAAAAAAATAAATAAAAACACAAAACCCCAGGCAAATACCTTAGGCAGAGAACAGCAAATAACCACTTCTTTCAAAAGTCGTCTGCTTTCTTTTCCAGTTGTGTTTAGTTAGTGTGTACATGAACAGATTCTTCTTCACACAAATCTTCCTTTGCACTGCACTATGCAAAGAGATGCGAATTGCTGTATTCGCAGTTGAAGGCCCATTACTGTGGTAAGTGAAGTTTAATTGCAATAGAGAATTAAGCACAGAGTGTGAAAAGCTGTTCCAGCAGATAGTGCAGCCTGAATATCACAGAGTTTAGACCTTCCACCCACTGTAAAAATAACCCAAATGAAAGCTATTAGCTTCACTGCAGTTGATAATAAAAACAGATGGTGTGAACTGTTCCTGGAGGCCCTTGTGAGAAGGTTGTTGTATCAGTAGGATCTGTATTCCTCCACCTTTGCATGTATTCCCATTCTCATGCACTTTTCCTTAAGTTGGCACTTACACAATCTAACCTTAGACTGGGGGAAAACAGACTGCATTTCATTGCACGAACAGGTGCTGTGCCTCTGTATGAAAGGCCCTCATCTACAGTGTTGCAATTACCTTTCCTTGATAGTCATTCAAGGCATGTAGCATTTACTTTGTGTCACCAGGCTACTGTGCATTAACCAAAGGAGACACTTCTTAGACTCTACAAGCACTCAAACTGTGAGATCTTAAAAATAATTATTAGGAGACTTGTGAAAGGCAGAGAGATTTCATCGAGTATCTCTACCCTTCAGTGTTAGGTAGGCACGCCCAACCCATATTTAAACTATCTGTGGCAGAACTGATCCCAGAGGTGGCTAATCACTGACAATTTTCAACATTATCAATGTCTGAAATTTTGTGGTCATTTTCTAGGGTGTGCTCTTCCCCTTTTCTCTATGTGTGGCATCAGACACTTGAATATCAGGACAATAGTGGATATGACATTAATGGTATGAACTTCAAAAGACACTGATGTGAACTCCAGATCAAACCCTGTATTCCTGGATACACAGTGCTTGCATGCAGCATGCTGTAGGTGTGAAGCAGCAAACAATGGTGTTGGACATCTTGACAGGAGACTTTCGGAAGGTAATTTTGCATTTTACTACTAAAAAGGTGGGAGTCATTACAAAAAGCCACAACGTGAAACTGTCAAAAGCTTGTACTTTATTCAACTTAAGCTTATCAAGGGAATAGAGCAGAAAATATATTTTCATTATGAAGTGCAAAGAAAAAAGGCAATGGGAGATTTGTGTGAACTTCATGTTCAGAGAAGTTCCATACAGTTACATTGTGCTCTTATCAGACTGATAAGATACAAAGTTTGAGACATACAGTCTTCAAGGACAGGCATAAATACTAGGTCAGAGGTGTTCCCTGACTTGGCATTCTAATTTTCTTTGCTCAAATCCACTTAGTTTTCTGCTTTATGTCTTAGTTTTGTGCAATGCCAACACTCATTCTCTTTACATACAGCTTGTACATTAAGTTTTTCTTTTCCCTTGGTCACAGATTACATTTTTCTTCCTTCTTATTTCCTATCATCTTAACAACAACTCAGTGCACTGAAAATATTTCCTTTCCAATTAGCCGGGAAGCATTCAATTTAGGTATTGTTAGGGAAGCCCATAATATATCTGGCAGAGTCATCAAATCATGGAATAAATGTAGTCTTTTTTAAAGTAAATCGGACATTATAGAAACCATGTATCTTCTTGATTCATTAGATTTGATGGTGTCGTGATTTCCAGATAGAATAATTAGATTAGTACAGCAGTTCTCAAGAGTATATTATAGAAGAATATGCAGTATAAAGGAGAGAAAGGAAGTTTTCCCAGTGAGAAGTGGATGCTAGTCCAAAGATTTGATTTGATACCCTTCTTTAGCCTCTGGGGCCTGTTTTTCTGAACGGTAAGCATTTGCAAGCTAGAGGCTAAATTGTTTCTGAAAATTCGACCCTAACACTAAGATTCATGTCCAATGGAAATGTTCTCATATGATTACAGTTGTCTGATCCTGTGTTATAGCCAATTGCTAGAGGCAATTCAGCTGACCTATTTTCTGTGCAATGCATCAGCTTCCATGGAAGGCAGTCATGTCCTAGAACTTCGGAAGGTGTGAAGTATGAAACATCTCATTCTCTGTACCTAGGGTCTGGGAATTCAGAAAAAAAGATATAAAAATAGAAAATCATTCACAGAACTTTTCTCTCAGATTTACTTTTGGTTTATATGCAGTATTTTGTTTATATGCAAGTATTACACTGCAAATAAAAGACAGACCAGGGACAATGTGGGCCCTCTCCAGAAGCTATCAGGAGAACTGGCTACCCTGGATTTGGAGAATCTGAGGTTCTTAATGACTTCTTTGCCTCAGTCTTCACTTGCAAATGCTCTGACCACACCACCCAAGTCTTGTAAGGCAGATGCAGAGACTATGAGAATGAAGACCTTAGGCCCACTGTAGGAGAGGATCTGGTTCCAGACCATCTTAAGAACCTGAATGTACACAAGTCCATGGGATCTGATGAAATCCATCCACGGGTCCTGAAGGAGCTGGCAAATGAAGTTGCTAAGCCTCTGGCCATCATATTTGAAAAATCATGGCAGTCAGGTGAAGTTCCCAATGATTGGAAAAAGGGAAATATAACCCCCATTTTCAAGAAGGGGAAAATGGATGACCCGGGGAATTACAGACCAGTCAGTCTCACCTCTGTGCCTGGCAAAATCTTGGAGCAGATTGTCCTGGAAAGCATGCTAAGGCACATGAAAAACAACAAGGTGCTTGGTGACAGCCAGCATGGCTTCACCAAGGTGAAATCCTGCCTGACCAATATGGTGGCCTTCTATGATGGGGCTACAGAACTGATGGACAGGGACAGAGCAGTTGATGTCATCTACCTGGACTTGTGCAAAGCATTTGACACTGTCCCGCATGACATCCTTGTCTCTAAATTGGAGAGACATCAGTTTTATAGGTGGATCACTTGGTGGATAAAGAACTGGCTAGAGGGCCACACGCAAAGAGTTGTGGTCAATGGGTCAGTGTCAAGCTGGAGACCAGTAACGAGTGGTGTCCCTCAGGGATCGGTGTTGGGACCGGTCTTGTTTAACATCTTCGTCGCTGACATGGACAGCGGGATTGAGTGCGCCCTAAACAAGTTTGCTGGTGACACCAAGCTGTGTGGTTTGATATGCTGGAGGGAAGGAATGCCATTCAGAGGGACCTTGACACAGTTGTGAGGTGGGCTGATGCCAACCTTATGAAGTTTAACCATGCCAAGTGCAAGGTCCTACACCTGGGCGGGAGCAGTCCCAGGCACAGCTACAGGTTGGGCAGAGAAGAGATTCAGAGCAGCCCTGCAGGGAAGGACTTGGGGGTGCTGGTCGATGAGAAAATGAACACGGGCCATCAGTGTGCGCTTGCAGCCCAGAAGGTCAAGCGTATCCTGGGCTGCATCAAGAGGAGCGTGACCATCAGGTCGAAGGAGGTGATCCTGCCCCTCTACTCTGCTCTCGTGAGACCTCACCTAGAGTACTGTGTGCAGTTCTGTGTCCTCAACATAAAAAGGACATAGATCTGTTGGAACAAGTCCAGAGGAGGGCCACAAGGATGATCAGGGGACTGGAGCACCTCCTGTATGAAGACAGGCTGAGAAAGTTGGGGCTGTTCAGCCTGGAGAAGAGAAGGCTGCGTGGAGACCTCATAGCAGCCTTCCAGGCCTATAAGGATGCTGGGAAGGGACTCTTCGCTAGGACAAGGGGTAACAGGTTCAAACTTAAAGAGGGGAAGTTTAAATTGGATATAAGGAAGAAGTTCTTTACTTTAAAGGTGGTGAGGCACTGGAATGGGTTGCCCAGGGAGGTTGTGAATGCTCCATCCTTGGCAGTGTTCAAGGCCAGGTTGGACAGAGCCTTGCGTGACATGGTTTAGTGTGAGGTGTTGCTGCCCATGCCAGGGGTGTTGGAACTAGATAATCTTAAGGTCCTTTCCAACCCTAACCATTCTATGATTCTATGACTAAATCAGAATGACTTGAAGTCTTTTGCTGAGCAATAATTGTTTTCTTTTAAGGTTATCTCAAAGTTATCAGAACACTAGACTTACAGATCTGGAGGGAAATTTGATCTCTGTCTCTCCCTTGTATATTCTCTATCAAAATCTTAGCTCTGTTGTATCCCTGGAAAACTTAATGGAGGAAATGTATCAGTTCATAACCCCAGGTAATTACTAAAGCTATCCAGCTCATCCTAAAGTTTTCAAATATTTCTGCCAGTGTTGTGCGTGAAACATGCCAGAAGCCCACCTGGCTTATGGCCCAGGTCTGAATTACCCTCCAGTCACTTCTGGAGAAAACATGCCCATAATTAATATTTGAGTCCTTTCACCTTGAAGTATGGTGAGAACATCCTTCCCTGTTTTAGTGTCCTGACTTTCACCTGCTCCTCCATGGTGGGCTGACCCTGGCTGGATGTCAGGTGCCCACCAAGCCACTCTGTCACTCACCTCCTCAGCAGGGGAAGGAGGGGAGGAAACAAGATGGATAAAACTTGTGGATCAAGATAAAAGTGATTTAATAAAACAAAAGCAGAGGCAAAACATGGAAGCAAATGAAAACAAAATATTTATTCTCTACTTTCCATCAGCAGGCAATGTCCAGCTATTTCCTCGGAAGTAAGGCTCCAATACACATAGTGATTGCTACGCTAAACATTGTAACAAATGCTCCACTTCCTCCTTTCTCTTGGCCGTTACTGCTGAGCAGACATTGTATGGTATGGAATATCTCTTTGGTCAGTTTGGGTCAGCTGTCCTGGCTGTTCTCTCTCCTGGGATCTTACCCACCCCTAGCCTACTGGTGAGGGGGGAATGTTGGCGGGACAGCCTTGAGGCTGTGAAACTAGCCAAAACGCTGGTGCCTTGTCAACACCATTACAGCTACCAGCACAAAGCAGAGCACTATGAGTGCTGCTATGGGAAAAATTAACTCCATTTCAGCCAGACCAAATACAACCCCTTGATATTGATAATTCTGTTCATAGCTTTTTATAAACTACAGGCAGAAGTAGCAGAAAGAGCCATTCCATGAAACTGAGAAAATTGCCTAACAAGACAAGAGAAAGATAATACATGGGTAAAATTTAATTAAAGTCCAAATGAGCTTAGGAGTTCTTTCACAGTGAGTGAAAGGGATCAGTGTCCTCTTCTTTGTCTGGGAGCTCTGCATGGAATTAGGTTTTAACTGATCTGCAGGAACACAGAATGGACTGAAAGAACAGGTAATTTGCTGCTTAGAAGATAAGCAGGATGCTGTTGGAGAGTTAGAAGACCAGGGGTATGGTCAGCCAAGCATTAATGTACCTAAGACATATTTACACCTTCCTTCCCAAAGATTACCCAGATTTAGTTTTCCAAAAGATTACCTAGGTTTCCAAGCCCAGCATAAGGAAAGTGGAATAGACTACTCAGTCATAGGAAAGGTAAAGTCCCACTTGCCTTTGACACAAACAAGATACTGTGCAGATACAGTTCTGACACTTGGGTTGCCACAAATGAGGAATGCACAAGGGGAGGAAGTTGGGTGGTCTTTTCCCCGTTATGACAGGGAGAATGATAGTGATAACCCCTGTAAAACATCTTGGGGATAAAAAAGCTGCCCTCAAAATATGCTCTGCTTGCCTTCTAGACACACTAGATCTTCCTGTAAGTCTTGGGATAGAGGGAAGAATTACTGATTTTTCACTTGAGAGCCTAACCGTTTTCATTATCTGTCTTTCAAATGCAATACCACATTATAAAATCTGAGTCCACTGCAGCTTTCCTCGCACATACCCAGTTGAGTATCCAGTGTGGTATTGCTTGTCAGTGGCAATAACATCTGAAAATACATTTCCCTGAGAGACCTACTTTTGTACTGGTACCTGCAGCAAACTTGTCTGCTTAGATATACAGATGAAAACTGATTGCTCATTTTATACAGAAATCTGGTTTCAACCATCTGTGTTCTTTTGCCTTCTAACAACTAAGATCTGTCAGGTGGGATCTCTCCCACTTCCTAGTTGTTCCCAGAGATTGTACTCCAATTTTGGCACCCCAAATAACAAAGCAGGGAGAGAGGTGTGTAATATATACCTTCTTTGTGCTCTATTAATCATAGAAATTAAATTTAGTTATTCATGCCTGGAGTAACTTGGTGAGGGATACGAAGGCAAGAATACCCTTTGTAAATAAAATGGTTAAACAGCCCAAAGTTCAGTATTAATTTTTTGGGAGCACACTCTTGGGACTACCCAAAAATCAACAAACAAAATAGAAAACAGTAAATCGAATCAACATGGTTTCTGCTCATCTGTAGAAGTGAATAATTCACCTTATAGGTAGTTCTGATTTTATGGGATAGCCAAGATCTGCAGTGAACAGCAAAAGCACAAACTGCAGGGCGCAGCCAGCAAGCATGTAGCACTGTGGAGCTGTTTAGCCTCACAGCACGAGAGTGAGAATCTCAGGGCTGGACTGAATACAGAAGAGCCAGACCAGAAAGGATG